TTTCATCTACTTCGATAATATCTACGTATCTACGTATATATATATATATATATATATATATATATATATATATATATGGATAACTTGTTTTGAATTTTCGCTTTCGAAGTTTCCGATTTAAGTATTGATTCTATGATGATCCATGTTTGTGGTGATTTCACCCCTTTTTAACTTTTAACATAAAATCAATAAAATTGTATACTATAAACAAACAATATTTTAAACAATGCATTTACAGTAGATAATGTGTAGACAATAAAAATTCATCAGTAGTATATTGTTTCTATTTTTCTCTGTCATTGTCAAATGACTTTATTATTTATCACTGACCTTTTCTTTTTCTCTTATCAATTCATTATATATTCATTCTTTATTTGTTATAAACCTTTTATAGTTTTTATGATAAGTTATACTATATTTCATTACAATTTGAATTACTATAAAAGTATATATGTGCCTAAATAGTATTATTTATTAGTAATTGTAAGGGTTTATCACTTTTCTTACTTACTTACGCCTGTTACTCCCAATGGAGCATAGGCCGCCGACCAGCTTTCTCCAACCCACTCTGTCCTGGGCTTCCTTTTCTAGTTCTATCCAGTTCTTGTTCATTCTTCTCATGTCTGTCTCTATTTCTCGGCGTAATGTGTTCTTTGGTCTTCCTCTTTTCCGTTGACCTTTAGGATTCCATGTGAGGGCTTGTCTTGTGACGCAATCGGGTGATTTCCTCAAGGTGTGCCCAATCCACTTCCAGCGCTTCTTCCTCTGCTGGAATCTGGTTTGTTCTCTCCCACAGTAACTTATTGCTGATAGTGTCTGGCCATCGGATCCGAAGTATCTTGCGTAGACAGCTGTTGATGAACACTTGTATCTTCTGGATAATGGCTTTCGTATTTCTCCACGTCTCCGCCCCATACAGTAGAACTGTCTTGACATTTGTATTGAAAATTCTAACCTTGGTGTTGGTTGACAATTGTTTTGAGCTCCAGATGCTCTTCAGTCGTAGGTATGCTGCTCTTGCTTTGCCGATCCTCGCCCTCACATCTGCATCTGATCCACCGTGTTCATCAATGATGCTGCCCAGATATGTAAAGGTTTCCACATCCTCCAAAGTTTCTCCATCAAGTGTAATTTGATTGGCGCATATTGTATTGTATCGGAGAGTCTTGCTTTTCCCTTTGTTTATATTGAGACCTACTGGTGCTGAGGCTGCTGCTACACTGGTCGTTTTCTCCTGCATTTGTTGTTGCTTTTGTGATAGAAGAGCCAGATCATCCGCGAAGTCTAGATCGTCAAGCTGCATCCTGCCTGTTCACTGTATCCTGTGCATTCCTACAGTCGTTGACGTCTTCATGATTCAGTCGATGACCAGGAGAAAGAGAAAGGGTGATAGTAAGCAACCTTGCCTAACACCGGACTTTACTTCAAACGAGTCGGTGAGTTGTCCTCCGTGGACGATTTGGCAATTTAGTCCATCATAGGAGTTCCGTATGATATTTACTATCTTCTCAGGCACGCCGTAGTGCCGAAGAAGCCTCCATAGTGTCGTCCTGTTCACGCTATCAAATGCCTTCTCGTAGTCGATGAAGTTGATGTAGAGTGATGAATTCCATTCGATTGATTGTTCCACAATGATACGTAGTGTTGCGATTTGATCTGTGCACGATCTATCCTTAGGAAATCCAGCTTGTTGATCTCGAAGTTGGGCGTCCACGGGATCCTTCATCCTGTTTAACAATACTCTGTTGAAGACTTTTCCTGGTATTGAGAGGAGGGTGATGCCCCTGTAGTTGTCGCACTTGCTGAGATAGTCTTTCTTTGGTATCTTGATCAGAAGTCCTTTTTTCCAGTCTTTTGGTACTTGTTCTTCATCCCAAATCACTTTTCTTAGTTGTTAATATTTAGGAACTAATGTATTATCATTGTTTTGTTTTTATAAGCTTCTAGAACAAGTACCTCAGTATTAGTTTCTAGATTTACAATTTGACGTTAATTTTTTTTATATGTTGACTAAGATTTAAATTCAGGATAATATGTAGTGCAATACTTCGTTAATCTTTCACCTCGATTAACCGTTATAATAAAAATCTTAACGGTGCATGAAATCAGAAAGCAAAGAGAAGCTACAACTACAGTTTATTATCAAATGACGCAGGCCACAAAGCTATAAGCACATGAGCAAGTATCAGCGAGCGAAGCAAAAATAACGCACAATGAAGATGGCGGGTAAACCAACTCGCTTTAATCAAGCGTTAATCAATATTTATAGTCAGATAAAAGTAAATTAAAAACATGTGATGAATGGGGTAAGATGTGTACACGCACATACGCTCATATAAAAACAGTCAAGGTTAATAAGTAAATAATTAAAAAGGTCAAAACGTGACTCAAGGTGGATAGGTAAATTGGCTTGTCCAGAAGCTAGAATAAGGTATATGGGCTTAGCATAACAACCGACACTACAAACATATCAGGTGGCTACAAACAGTCAATTAGAAAGCCTGGACCTAAGTTTCTCCCCAATTAGCACTCATCACCAATGTGTACTTATAATCCTGAGGGAACTGATGCTTCTTGTGAAATTGGAAGCTCAGAAATGGGAATCACTAATCTAACTTATAACTGTAACATGTGCATACGCAAATATATATGGAAAATGTTGAGATGTATTAAGTAACGTGTAAAAAGCCTGAAAGGCAGAACATTAGCTGACCAGTTAAAAAGAGAAGCAGTAAAATTGTAGTCAGACTGGGGTTGTGGAGATTGCTAAATCGATCCAAGTAGACTGGCATAAATTCTGTAATTATTATTTTTGGAATTTAATACTCTATAATTTTCATTAAATACTAGGTATTAAATTGAAAAGAGAAGGAAAACTGAATGTTTGAAATCACATCTTCTGTTAAACATAAACCGTTGTTAACCGGTTCAGTTGTTCAAATAAGTAGTGAATACATAGAATTCAATTGAAGATTGTAATACAATTCTTTATGATGTATTAAATGTCATCTATACATCATATATTTTTATGGCAAGCGCACAGTCAATCATCTGAATTCCCTACTTTTAACTCAAAAAAAACGAAATAAACATTGAGAAATCTCAATACTTATTGTTTATACAGTTATAAGCTGAGTTAAATTAGCAGGTAATTTGACATCCGAGAATACGTAAAAAACTCATTCTTAAGTTTGAAGAAAATATTGTAGTTAAAATAGCGCTTGAGAAGTTATAGGGAATTTATCTCATCCACTTCATTCATGAGCGCATGTTATACATAGATCACTGAAGAAAACTTCCTCCTTATTGGTTTTTGAGTGGGGAGAGAGAATTTAACTAGGTTGCATTGTTATAACACTGTTGATTTGATTATATTGTTCACAGAAGTGATCTCTTAATTTCAACCTCGATTCTTTGACTGAGCCGAACCTTTGGCCAATTGACTGATTATATCGAGAAATCAAAGTGCTATTTATCGACATTTGTTTAACCAAGATACTATTATTATTGTTATTAATTATTTACCAGTTAATATATTAGTAATTATGTATGAAAATGAAAGTCACAAGTCATTCAACAGTGATCTTTCACTTTTTATCTGTCATATTTTTTACGAACTGCGATCAATTAATTTTATGTACCAAGCGATGAATAGAACGAACGTAGATCAAAGGTTTTCTCCCAATTATCTAGCATCAGGAAATGTTGAGTCACATAAAAAATATCTGCATTTTGTAGCTTGATCGTTAGAATTCTGTTTAGTCCCAGTATAGGACTCCTTAGTAATACTCATCCATGGCACAAACATCGAGGATCTACTCCATGGACCTTCGGTTTTACGTCTAAAGCTAAACTTTCAGATGATTTATCTGGAATCCAACGGTTTACATGTCAAACTTCATATAATTCATGATATTTATCAGTAACCTTTCACTGTCTTCATTAGCTGACTGCCCCACCCCGGATACGGTTGAATTACACTGGTTACTGCTTTTTACAACAAATATGGAAGTTATCAGAAGGGGGTTTCGTGTGGATTTTAGTAATTTTATATAGTTGAGTCGATCGAAGCTAGGCCACCATGGAAAACCTGGAAGCACTGCTCGACGGCCGTTTCGTCGTATTACGGGACTCCTCAGCAGTGCGCATCCACGATCTCGCCTCGAGGGATTCGAACCCAGGACCTACCAGTCTCGCGCCAGAGCACTTAACCGATAGACCACCGAGCCGGTATCCAACGGTGTCAATGTCTAATCTCAACCAATCCACGAAATTGCGCGACTAACTTCCATTGTACGGAGGTAGATACCTGTCTCTACCTGACATGGATTAGCACCACCGGTCTAGCTTCAATTGACTCATGATCTCAACTATGGAAGTTTCCTCTCGATATTAGTCACTAGTAAGTACAGTGACAATTATCAGGACGAGAGCTTGCAAAGAGTTCTAACTATTAATGCGATGACAAACAAACTTAAATTAGACAACCATTAAAAACCCAAAAGCACTAGACAACTGTTTTATCCTAGTATGAAACTTCATAGCAACCTGCATCCACAATCCCATAGGGTATCGATAATTATTAATAATCAGTGAACAATTATATCTAGGATTATAGTAAACTAGTTTTTATAGCCAATTTATCCTACATAAAAAAATCCTAATTTCTTATCTTATTATCTAAAATAATATAAGTTAACATAATGAAGATTTATCCCATAATCTTGATAACTATTATAAGTACAAACAAATTAAATATTAAATCTCCTCCCCCCCAAAAAAAATAAACTCGTTAGAAAATAGAATTTTATTTCAAAATTATTTTTTTTCAGAAAAAAAGGGGGGGAAATTCTAATCCTAAACGTTACACGAAATGAATTAAAAGAAAAAGAAAAAAAACAACAATTTTCTTTCCGTTTTTGACAAAATTAAATAAAAAGAAAAAAAGGGTAAATTTCTTTTTTCTTTTCTTTTTTTCTTTTCAATGTTTATTCATATTAGGAAATATCACAATAAATAATATCAGTAGTATAATTAAACATGTAATAATAAATGTACCAATTAATAGAAATGTAAATATTCTTTTCTTTTTTAAATAATTTTTTAATATATCACATAATTTATAATGAATAGGTAATTCATTTATAGTTGGTAATATATGTACTTGATTTTTTCCAAATGTAGTACTAAAATTTGATGAATAAATACTACTTAATGTATATTTTTTATTAGAAGTTTGTAAACGATTACTTAATTGACTTTTACGTGGATGTATAGTTGAAGTGGATTCTTGTAATGATAATCTTTGTTCTATATCAATAGGAAATGCTAATACATTCCATGGTGTAACACAAACTAATGACTAAAAAGAAATGAATGAATAAAAAGAAAAAAACAAAATTGTGTTTGATAATATTTAATAGAGTGAATAGTATTGCATTGTAACATACGGTATCATGATTATCTGGATATTGAATTGTTTTTCTAAAGTAATAGATTCGGAGCTTTACGTAACCATAACCTTAATCGGAAATCAAATGTAGGACATTCAGTCAGTTAGTCAGCTACAACGTAGCGCCAGGCACATTTATGCATCGGTCCAAGTTGCCATACCTCGTTAGCACAACAAGATGAACACCGGATTCATATAAATAGTTAATTTAGTGGTGGTAGTATATGAAAGAAAGATTATATATAAGGATATACTACAGGAAGATAGATAGACATGAAGCAATTTTAATCTCACGGTTTAAGGGAAAATAAAGAGTGTATATACCTACGCCATTGTGATCGATTCTGAGCCATGTCACATAGAGTCTCCAACCATTGGTTACGATTATCAAGAGGACCCCAACCAGGTAGTCTGCATCTGCCAACATGGCTCAGACTAGAAGTTAGTGACTTCATGCTCTGATGCCACGCTTTGGTTTGGCCGCCCCTAACTCTCTTTCAACCATCCCCTACACTAGTCAGCATAGTGCGTCGTGGTAATCGGTGTTCAGGCATACGTAAAACGTGGCGCAGCCATCTCAGTCGATGAAAATGCACGTAGGACGTTAGGGCATTATGGTGAGTACTTCACCTTCAGATCATTGATTTAACATCAAGCAAGTTTCGTTTCTAACGTTAGTCAGTTCTTAATACTGAATAACCAACAACCATTGCTACTAGTTACATCTGACTTACCCCGATATAGCTGAGCTCTACTAATCATTTCTTCTCCATAGAATCCTGGGAATTACCTCTCAAAGTTATTCCTCGGTCAGTCATAGAAGTAACTGCAAAAACGCTCCACGTTCTATTCAGGAGGATTTTGGAGGAAGAACAAATGCTGACAGACTGGAAAGGAGAATACGTCATCAAGATAACAAAGTAAGGGGACCTGAGTTAGTGTGAGAACTACAGATGCATCACACTACTGTCAATACTAGGTAACTTTTTCAACAGTGTCGCTGAACCGGATAAAAGATTCAGTGGACACCCAACTTTGAGATCAACAAGTTAGATTCCGTGAGAATCGGTCGTTCACAGACCAAATCGTAACACTACAGATCAATTGAATGGATCTCGTCATTATCCGTCAACTTCATTGATTTTGAGAAGGCGTTTGAGAGCGTGGATAAGAAAGCCTAATGGAACCTTCTTCAACATTATAGTGTATCTAAGAAAATCGTCAACATCATACAGAATTTATACCACGGACTACACTGCAAAGTTGTGCATGGAAGACAGTTGACAGATACATTCTAAGTGAAGACCAGTATCAGACAAGGCTGCCCACCCCCCTCCTTTGTATTTCTTCTAGTGGTTGACTGGATTATGGAAATCTCCGCAACTGAGGTGAAGCACGGAATACATTGGATAGGTTGGATACAGCTAGATTATTTGGACTTCTCAAATAACCTAGCTCTTCCATCCTATACACACCAGCAAATGCAGCTGAAGACAGTCAATAAAGCAGAAGCCTCTGCAGCAGTAAATCTCGGCATACACCAGGGAAAAAACCAAGATCCTCAAATACAACATGAAGAACACCAACGCAATCACACTTAATGAAGATCTGAAAGAGGTGAAACAGTTTACCACTTATTATTTCTTTTGTAATTCAAAACCTCTAATGTGGATTCACTTTTTGTATCATTTATTTAAGCTAAACTGAAATATGAATCAACACATGTGCATTTTTAAATACGTCTAAACTACAAATTTCACATAATATATTATTAAGATTAATTAGTTGGCTTAACTCCCCCTGTAGCTCTTCTAGAGTTACTGCCGGTCCCAAGCCCGGGTAAAGGAGGAGGGTTGGGCATGGGGTTAGCGACCCCATCCCGTAGAAAAGCTAACTCGCTAAAAAAACGCTAACCAGAAAAAATAATCCAAACCATTTAAACTCTGCCCTGGGAGTTGAAAGAAGAATCCTGACGCCTCATGATGAAAGCCGAAATTCTTCGGAAGTCACGAGACCGATGCACCTTCTAACAACCAGAGCAACACTTTATAGGCACATGGAACGTCCGGACGATGTGGGAGACAGGAAAAACCAGCCAAATAGCAATGGAAATGAGGAGATACAACTTGGCAGTACTCGGAATCAGCGAAACCCATTGGACACAAGCTGGACAACAAAGGCTAGGTACAGGAGAGATGCTGCTGTACTCCGGTCACGAAGAGGAAAATGCGCCACACACTCAGGGAGTTGCTCTAATGCTGTCCAGAGAAGCACGAAATGCACTTGTGGGATGGGAATCTCATGGACCCAGGATAATCAAAGCATCATTCAGAACAAAGAAGCAAGGGATCACAATGAACGTTATCCAATGTTATGCACCCACCAATGATAGCAACGACCATGATAAAGATCAGTTCTATGAAATGCTGCAATCAATTATAGAGAAGTGCTCACGAAAGGACCTCACAATCCTGATGGGAGATCTAAATGCTAAAGTTGGAGTGGACAACACAGGATATGAAGATGTAATTGGACGACATGGACTAGGAGAGAGAAATGAAAATGGGGGGAGACTTGCAAACCTATGTGCATTCAACAAATTGGTTGTAGGCGGCACAATATTCCCACACAAACGTATACACAAAGCTACATGGATCTCACCGGACCACACCACAGTGAACCAGATTGATCACATCTGTATCAACAAAAAATTCCGAAGATCAATGGAAGATGTGAGAACCCGGAGAGGAGCTGACATAGCTTCAGATCACCACCTGGTTGTGGCCAAGATGAGACTGAAGCTAAAGAAAGACTGGACAACTGGGCAATCAGCACTACAAAGGTTCAATACAGCCTTCCTTCGAGATACTGACAAGCTCCATGAATTCAAGATAACTCTCAACAACAGGTTCCAAGCTCTACAGGATCTACTGAAAGAACAAGAAACTACTTTGGAGGACAACTGGAAAGGGATAAAAGAAGCACTAACTTCAACGTATCAGCAGGTTCTTGGTCCTAAGAAGCATCATCACAAGGAATGGATCTCTATGGGAACCCTGGACAAAATTCAAGAAAGGAAGAACAAGAAACTAGCAATTAACAACAGCCGAACACGAACAGAGAAAGTCAAAGCACAAGCAGACTACGCAGAAGCAAACAGAGAAGTGAAGAAAAGCATTAAAGCCGACAAGCAGAAATATATGGGAGAACTAGCAACGGCGGCGGAAAAAGCTGCAAGAGAAGGGAATATGAAACAACTATATGACACAACGAAGAAATTGGCAGGGAGATATAGCAAACCAGAGAGACCAGTCAAAGACAAAGAAGGAAAGACAATCACCGAGATTCAAGAACAGAGGAAAAGATGGGCAGAATACTTTGAGGAACTGCTGAATAGACCAGCCCCATCGAATCCACCGAACATCGAAGCAGCCCACACTGACCTTCCAATAGATATCACTCCACCAACGATCGAAGAAGTCAAGATGGCCATCAGACAAATCAAAAGTGGGAAGGCGGCAGGACCTGACAATATACCAGCAGAAGCACTGAAGTCAGACATTGAAATAACTGCAAATATGCTTCACCTTCTATTCAAGAAGATTTGGGAAGAGGAACAAGTGCCAACGGACTGGAAAGAAGGATATCTCATCAAGATACCAAAGAAAGGAGATCTGAGCCAATGTGAGAACTACAGAGGCATCAGTTTGTTATCAGTACCAGGAAAAGTTTTCAACAGAGTGCTGCTGAATCGGATGAAAGACGCAGTAGACGCCGAACTTAGGGATCATCAGGCTGGATTCCGTAAGGATCGGTCGTGCACAGACCAGATTGCGACACTACGGATCATCGTTGAACAATCAGTTGAGTGGAACTCATCACTATACGTCAACTTCATCGACTATGAGAAGGCGTTTGACAACGTGGATAGGAGAACATTGTGGAAACTTCTTCGACACTATGGAGTTCCTCAGAAGATCGTCAACATTATCCAAAACTCATACGATGGATTACAGTGCAAAGTGGTGCATGGAGGACAGCTGACAGATGCATTTCCAGTAAGGACCGGAGTCAGACAAGGCTGTCTACTCTCCCCATTCCTCTTCCTTCTAGTGATTGACTGGATTATGAAGAATTCGACATCTGAAGGGAAATACGGAATACAATGGACTTCTCAGAATCAATTAGATGATTTGGACTTCGCAGATGACCTAGCCCTCCTCTCTCATACACACGACCAAATGCAGATGAAGACAGCAAATGTAGCAGCAGCCTCCGCATCGATAGGTCTCCACATCCACAAAGGAAAAAGCAAGATTCTCAAATGCAACACGGAGAACACCAACCCAATCACACTTGACGGCGAAACTCTGGAAGAGGTGGAAACATTCAAGTACCTGGGGAGCATCGTTGATAAACAAGGAGGATCGGATGCAGATGTAAAGGCGAGGATTGGCAAAGCAAGGGCAGCATTTCTACAATTGCAGAACATATGGAACTCAAAACAACTCTCAACCAATTTCAAGGTGAGAATCTTTAATACGAACGTCAAGACAGTCCTACTGTACGGAGCTGAAACGTGGAGAACTACTACGACCATCATCAGGAAGGTACAAGTATTTGTAAACAGTTGTCTACGCAAAATACTCAACATCCACTGGCCGGATACTATCAGCAACAGCGTTTTATGGGAGAGGACAAATCAGCTTCCAGCTGAAGAGGAAATTAGGAAAAGACGTTGGAAGTGGATCGGACATACATTGAGGAAATCATCAATGTGCATCACGACTCAATCCCTAACTTGGAATCCGGAAGGGAAGCGGAAAAGAGGAAGGCCAAAGAACACACTACGCCGGGAAATAGAAGCCGATATGAAAAGGATGAATAGCAACTGGAAAGAACTGGAAAGGAAGGCTCAGGACAGAGTTGGATGGAGAATGCTGGTGAGCGGCCTATGCTCCTCCACAAGGGGTAACAGGCGTAAGTAAGTAAGTAAGTAATTAGTTGGCTTATTGAACCTTCAACCGAATTGTTCCCATAGTAACTTAACTTTTACTATTTTTCATGATGTTTAAATGAGCGTATATGTCAGTGGTCAATGAGATAATTAATTGGGAAAGATATTCTGTCAGACTGTTACTTTGTATTATCTTTATGGTCCTATTAATATCAAGTATAAGCACTCAAAAAATTGAACAATCAAACCTATATTTTTCAAACAGTAGTAATACTTATAATAAGCTCTTTATTAAGTACTATAAATTTTGTTATGGGAAAAACCTTTGAAAAATTAAATATTGTAACTACTTTTACTAACTTACTTACTTACGCCTGTTAACCCTCGTGGAGGAGCATAGGCCGCCGACCAGCATTCTCCATCCAACCCTGCAACAACTTTAGTTTCGGTGCTATTTCTCATCTAGTACATAATTAATACTTATAATTCAAGTAATTCTTGTTTTTTGTGAAGAATATGTTAAATGCAGAAAATACTGCAAATTATGGTCATTTTATTCGAGATTTGAAGTATTCATCTCCAACATATACTGTAAAAATTTTATGGTAGCATGTAAATAGTTAATAATGTTAGTATCCAAGATTATTCAATAACAACAGAACTTAACTCAGAAAATTTATATAGATTGGATGGAATTAGGCTGTCAATGGAATGCAGGATGTATGTTACATCTTATTTTAAAAAAGAATTGTCACACTTCACATATTTGATCTAGGAGTAATCTAGAAATTTGAACTGACTATTGAAGTAAATTTTTATTGTTAAATCAGTTGATAATTCTTCAGAAGGGGTCCCATAATTGGACGAAACGGCCGTCCAGTGCTTCAAGGTTTTCCTTGGTGGTCTAGCTTCAATTAACTCATGCTTTCAACTATGATAATTCTTCACTAATTTTATAGAGTTCATTAATTTCTCTTTATTTGATAATTTTCAAATCTATCTAACCAAGTTGAAGGAATTTTTTAAAAATGTTCTAGGCCTTGTAGTTATTTGTTTATTTATTTGAAATCATAAATATTGGTACAAACATGCACCAGATATATATGCGCCACACAAAGAAATTGTCATTTCATTTAATTGTGTGACGGTTATGATACTGTCCGAGTGCTCAAACCCAAGCAGGTGGTTTTCTTGAGGAGCCACACCCGAAGCTTTTAACCTAAAGGTCTGATCCACAAGGCAGTGGAGCATCGTAAGGAGATGCAGTCCCATGGTAGCCTGTGACCAACACTTGGTTCATACGTCATTTGCTCCCTTATGGTACTGAAGCCCATGTGCACCATTGGTTCGGAATCAGGGTTTTCCAACTCCCCTAGGTGAACTCGCCGTGTCCACCAACCCGTTTAAAGCGCCTGACATTCGCTTTTCGTCCTCACAATTTCGTAAACAACAGTAATGCCACGAGAAGGCAGTGAGTAGGATTTCTCCGTCAGAGGCTGTATACGCATGGCCATGTGAGAGCACTTCGGGAGGACGGGCCATCTCCACTCTCGGCTGTACCAGGGCATTTAGGGGCGGCCTTGTAGTTACGTTGATAGATTACATAAATTATATTTTATGAAGATATCATTTAATGGTGTAATCATTTCTTTTAAAAAAATCAGACCATTAATTTATAACCTCTTTACAGTTATTTTATGTTATAACGAGTAGTCAAAATCTTGCATATGTAAACATTTACTGAGCTATTAAACGAATATTTCAATGAATGAGAATAAGAATACCCATAAGTAAATTCACTTACCGAAATATCATGTAATGCAGTTTGTAAAGTACAATATTCATTTTTTAATATATCAATTTCAGAAAGAGTTGAATTCCCCATGACACTTTGTTCATTATCATCATCATCATCATTGTCTAGATTAGTTTTATCAGCTAATAATAATGATATCTGATTTTGATCTATTCCTAATTCTATTGATTTAGTCAATCCAGTAATAATTAATGAATTAATATTAGTTTGTAATAATTTATTTGATGCTAATATCCATGATGAATTATTGTGTATTACAATTTCATTATTGTTAAGCTCATGGTTCTTGGACTCCTTACCTTCTTCATTGCCAACATTATCATTGCTACTATTTTTATTCATATTAGTAGTATTCATATTACCTTGTAAATTTATGGAAGGAAATAATGTAATTAAATGTAATGTTTTTAATAATGCTCTCATATGATATTCAATATATGTTGTAAATATAGAAAATAATTGATCTGATTGTTCACTTGTTATATTTGTTGTTAAACCAATATTAGTATTACGCCAACATTTAATTAATTGACTTTCAGTATTACGTAATACATACATCATATATCTTTGTAACATAATCAAATTTGTTCTGACTGATATACAATCCAATTCTGTACCAAGTATTGTACATATATTACGAAATTCAGCTGATATTATATTAAGTAATTTAAATTGTTTTAAAAATTCTTCATAATCATTTGTTTCTATGGGCATTGGTGTAATGGTTGTCATGATTATACTACTTATTTTTTTTTTTAAATAATACTTGATAGTAGTATTTGAATAAGAAAGAACAGAAATGAAAAGAAAAAAAGAAAAAAAAGGAAATTATTTGAAATATTTAAATATATATATTTATAAAATAGGGCGTTAATTCAAATAAATTGAACATACATTGAAGTTTCTTTTGAAAGTTGATTTTCTTGTTTGTTTGTTGTTGTTTTTTTTGTTTTATACTCACATGTACTTTTCTCTCTTTATATGTCAAATGTTCAATTGAGAATTTAGAAAACGTAGTTTTCTTTGAATAAACAGAAAAACAGAAAACTGTTTTTTTATTTTTATTTTTGTAAAGTGAATGAAATACATTAAAGTTAATCCATTCAAATATGATTGGTTAATTTTTTTTATTTTTAAAATTGAACAATGTACTATTTATTTTATAGTCTCCAAATGAAAAATAGATTTGTATTCAAAGTAATAGGTTCTATTGGATTGTAATATTTTAAAGAAAGAAGAGGATAGAAATACTTTATTCCATTATTACTATTGTTATCATCGTTACTACCATTATCACTATACATTCTACATCGATTGCTTTTTGTTTAAATGTAAATGGTAAAATAAGGCCAAGTGAAATGAACTGTTGAAGAATCTAATCAAGAGCTGATAAAAATTAATGATAATTAAAATTTTCATAGTTGAAATCATGAGTCAATTGAAGCTAGACCACAATGGAAAACCTGGAAGCACTGCTTGATGGCCGTTTTGTCCTATTATGGGACTCCTTAATAGTGCGCATCTACGACGTCGTCCCGCGAGATTCGAACCCAGGATCTACCAGTCTCGCGCCAGAGCACTTAACCGATAGACCATGAGCCGGCATCCGATGGTGTTAATATCTAACTTCAACCAATCCACGAAACTGAACAGCCATTCACCAATGTATTCAGTGAGTTGATATCTCCCAAGAGACCTGGTTGACTTCCACTGGTTACTGCTTGACTCATGATCTCAACTATATAAAATTACTAAAATCTCCACAAAACCCCTTCTAATTATAATTAAAATTTGTGAATTATAAAAAAGATCCCCTTTTTTTAAACAAAGTTTGATAATAGCTAGTGCTGGAATACAAGAAGCGTATTTAGTCCTGTTTGGGACTTGACAGCTGAGCAAACAATTACCACAACATTGATGTTCACAATGAGTCATTTCGCTCAGGGTGCATAAATAACAAAAAAAATTGATCAGTTATACTACTTAATATCAAAAATGGAAAAGATTTACACTTTCACAAATGAAATATTGGTTTTAGATTTTATACCCTGTTATGATATTCACTAAAACAGATAGGTAACAAAATGGTAACTTCATTGATTTAGTGTAACATATGTATTCTTCAATATTTAGTAGTGATTCATATGAATCTCACTTCCATACAATTATTTTCAAATTTTGTAACCTTTTAAGAAAAATTTAGTCAAACAACATCTACGTCAAAGATATCAGAAATATAAAAGTCATTAATCGATGGGGTTGTATGGTCATCATTCTGTATCATAAACATCGGATGTCAGAATATATATCAACATAAAAGAGAAAACTATCCATCTTGCTTTATAACACTTGTGACTTAAGGCAATCCGCACAGGTATCACAAATGCCAATAAAAAACTGATCAATTTCAGTCTTAAATATCAGTTGAAAGATTCAGACAGCCAACACAGAATTCAGTAGCTAAGTGGATAACGCGATGTTGTTTGGAGCAACAGGTACCGAGTTCGAGTCCCAGGGTGAACGTCAACTCTTGGATGCAGGTACATCCGGCTGACGAGTTCCGGATAAGACGAAATGTGAGTCTTGGATTCCACTACTAGCCACTATCCATCTTTGCCTATAAGAAAACGTAAAGTTTAAAATAACCATGTAGTTGTTTTTTCGTCAGTGATAGCTATTTTATTTACCTACTGATAATAATAACGAAAATACTTAAATGATAAATTTGTATTGTGATTAGTTAAAAAATCTTAATTCACTAGTTCACAAATTTAACCTCTGTCTCATTTTCATTGCAGTATTTCTAACTTTGGTAAAATAAGGGCATTGTTCAGTTTTCCATAAATAATCTCACCTTAAAATTTACAATCACTAGTTCGGTTGAACTAAACTATTTAGTGAGTAAGTTTTTTTTCTATTTTTAATGAAATATCTTGACATCACTGTCTACTCCAACATACAGTGTTGGGTGAAATAGGAGCTCGTTGTACAAGTATTACGAGTGAATATGTCAGTGTTATAACGTTCAGTTTTCTCTATCTGCACAATGGGACATTAATTTACCTTAGACGAATATCTACACTAGATTCTTTCCCAGTGTCTATTCTACAGGACTTCAACAAACTCAGATCAAGACAATGTAATTAGCCTGACTAGAACGTAAATATATTTCCTCACCAAAAACCGACACAATCCAACACCAATCAGCAATCGATAATAATAATAATAAGGATAAGAGAATATATAACTCATCTAACGCCTATTAGACTAGGTATAAGTTTGACTAAGCAAACAATTAGTCATTATCATTCTCGACCACACATCAGCCAGAACATGATATTATTTTTATTAGGTAATTGACTGAACTTCAGAGTTATGTCGGTAATTAAAAACTTCCCTGTGGTGACCCATTCAATACTTGAATTTAATGGTTGGAGCTTTCGGGTGACGTGATCTTAAACTAATCATAGTGGGGTAGTCGACATCATTCTCAATACCCTTTTAACTATTAAGTAGATCATCAATCTTAAATGCTTTTTTATAAAAGCCATTTTTTCTGCTTGAAATTGGTTTCTGATGTTTGACATTCTGTTGCTTTCGATAATATTTTTCCTCCTTTACTTCTTTTGGTGTCAATTTACTGTCTATCGCTGTGTTCATGTGAGGTACAGTATTTTTGACAGACATATATTTAATTCTGTTGTATCCCGTGGAGAATTATGAATGGTAACTTTGAAAACTATCTATGGAACAATATGATATATATATTTCCTATTGTATAGTTGTTGAGTAACCAAACTATTCATATTCGTGTCTCTTTTATTATGAGCTTTATTTTGACCTATAGACCATTATAATACGATTTACCATTCTTTAGTTATCTCCAGTCTATTGATCACTGTTCCCCCATATTCACAGTCACATTTGGCCAAATATTGTACAAATGTTATTTTCTATTTTATGGTACGTTGTGGTCTGTTTGATTGGCATATAAATCCAGTATGTTTGAGAATAATGATTCATATTGCAGAGGCTACTATTGGTGTTCTGCACTTAACTGACTGGGCTAATCAGATAGCAGGACTGACAAGTACTCAAGACTGCTCATAACGCTTTTGTATATCATTGCTCCGATCGATAAATCACTGCTCTCCAATTGGTGGTCGTATAACGTTCGTATATATCAACTGGGCAAGAACGCACTCATACGTTATAACAAACTCTTATCCTGGATCAATGATTATTGACTAGTTAACAAAATATTAAGTTCAAATCAAAGACTATAGCACCAATGACATGAAAGCATTGAATATAAAACGATAACTAACTAGTGAAGCACTTTTCTAATTAGTTACAATGAAAGGTATTCATCTTCTTTAATAAGTTGAAACGATTCAATATTTTAAGGCTGAGAAGATTATTTCAAAATGAACAAGAAAATTATTCAATGCTGCCAAATTAAACTTTGATCAAAATAAAGAAATACTTCAAAGATATTATTACATGATAACACTAACATATGTATATTATGCGGTAGAAGATGAAGGTAATCACTAGGTAGAAAACAATTTTTTGAAAAAAATTTCTCACATTTAATTCATAACATCGGATACTACAAAAAAAAGCCAATCTATCATATTTTAAAATAAATAAATAGTTTAATTATCAAGGCGTATTAAGTTACTAAGGTAACAGAATAATATGAAAATTCAATGAAAATTATTTTGAAAAATGGCACTTTTCTTTGTACTCTGTAAAATAAGTCAATTTAAACATAATTGCAAACAATTAAACTATTTACATATTTACGATGGAAAATGTAACAAAAATGTATTATACATATAGTCAGTCAGGTAGTCACAACGTAGAACTTCGTACGTACGTACATCAGTTCGAGTTGCCATATTATATTAGCACACAGATGCAGTTTCCGATTCAAATCTCATAGTGGTAGTAGTAGTAAGAGTATAAGTAGTAATCCGAAAGATTAAGGTTTGAAGATGTTATTCAAGGAGTATAATCCAGTCAAATAAATTTCGAAAAGGAAAAAAGATAGAGACATGAAGAATCTAGAAGATTAGAATTTGGGAGAACACAAAGAGTGGATGCACCTTGGCCAATTGCAAACGATTTTGAGCCATGTCATTCAAGATCTCTAACAATCAGTCGCTATCATCTCGCGGATCCCAACCAGGTAGTCTACACCTACCAACATGGCTCAGTCCACTTGTCAGTGACTTCATAGATTTGTGCCATGTTTTGGTCTGGCCGCCCCTAGCCTTCTTTCAACTTACTCCTACACTATAAAACATCGCGCATCGGGGTAGTCGGTGGTTAAGGATACGTAACACGTGCCATCTCAACTGATGAAGTTTCACTACTTCATCAATCGATTTGCCATCCTTAACTAGTACCCGTTTCCTAACAACTGCATTACTTACTCGGTGGTCCCAGGATATACGAGCAATGCTTCGAAGACACCTATGGTCGAATACTAGCAGCCTACGGATATCCTCTACTCTTATAATTTATTTACTCAATATCAAATTTTAAATTCTGGTCAGTTCAATAATTAAAAAAATGATTTTTGTTTTGATAATTATTCATTTTTCTATTATTTTAAAAGTAGTCTTTGAAATTATTCCAATTGGATGTTATGCATATTCGTGGTAATTTCATTCTTTAAGTATTTGTATAAGTATTTAAAATATAAAAAGTAATATAAATGCCGACTCAGTGATCTAGTGGTTAAGCGCTCGTGCGCAATACTTATAGGTCCAGGGTCTGAATCTCGCGAGGTTTGCCGAGGAGTCTTACAATAGGACAAAACGGCCGTCCAGAGCTTCTAGGTTTTCCATGGTGGTCTAGCTTCAATTGACTCATGATTTCAACTATAAAAACACTGAAATCTCCACAAAACCCCTTCTGATAAATGTTTAGATTTAGTGTCTGTGATCTATATTTCATATATACAAAGTGATTGATGTAAAGCATTGAAATTGTAAAAATCATACAGTTAATAATTCATTTGCTAATTTTCCATCAATTGTCTTTTACATCCTTCATAATTCTTCCAGTTCTCAATTCCTTTATT